CAACATAATATCTGCAGTGTATGTACACTTTGCGTATTTCTTCCCTGTGATTCTCATTTCAGTTTATCTTTCTAGCCTACCAGTTTTTACAGTGTATGAGTTTTGGGTTTTAACAGTTGCTTCCCTTTTAACCTTATGGTTGGTTTTTCTAAGGATTTACTGCTTTCTGGGTTTTATTGTACACCCTCTGTAGATTTGTCTCTTTTTTGGCTAAAAGTTGATCATTTACGAGTTTTGTGTCAAATTCAAAAGTGACTTAGGGCTACACTAGAAATGATTCCACCATTCTGTGTCAGAGCAAAGAGCTTGGCCTATTTTGTTTTCTTTAGTCTTACTTCATATCTCCCCCTACTTTTTCCAGGACCTTCTACTCTGTTTCTATTAGCATGGTCAATAGTAGTAGCTGGACACGTCTAGTTCAGGTCTTCCAGTCATGGAGATTGAGGTTCATGTGGGTACACTGGTCCTTTGAGATAATTGTTTTATATACATCTTGGGTTTTCTTCCTAATCCCAACTGTTTTTATTGCTGCTGTTTTTGTTATATGCCACAAGTTCGCCTGCAACTCATAGTGATCCTTTGTACAGCAAACATTCCTGAATCCTGCCCTATCCTGACTCACAGGGTATTCCTTTCCTGCGATGTCCCTCCACCCTTCCAAGCATGATGTCCCTCTCCAAGGACTGGTCCCTCCTGGCCACTTGCCCAAAGGATGTGAGATGGACCTTCAAAATCCTTGCCTCTAAGGAGCAGTTTGGTTTTACCTCTCAAGATATTTAGTTATATTTTAAAATAAGTTACCTTTTATCAAGATACTTGTTTTGGATACTGTTTCTAAATATAAATGGAATCAGCACTCTTAACTTTACATTTTTTATAAGTAATGGTAAGCAAAATAAGAAAAATAGTAATTGTGTTTGTTTTTAAGGGAAGAGAAATGTACTTAAGATTTTATTATTATACATTTTAAATGTTTGGTCCAGGACTACTGAGATTGAACTGGAAAGAGACATTCAATAACAGGAAGGAGGAAACTCCTCCCATGCAGTTTATAGCCTTTGAAAACATATTGAAGGGCAACTTTGAGTTATTGAATCATTTCCAATGTGACAACAACGAGGTTTGGGTTGTTTTTTGTTGTTTTTTTAAAATGTAGTGTTCAGTTAGTCCTTCTGCCTTAACACTGCAACAAATAAGTAGAAATCTTCCTTAGAAATGTCATCATTGGTAGTTGCCATAAGTTGATTTAGATTCATGTTATCCTCTACTCAGAATAGAGCTACTCCATAGAGTTTTCAAAGCTCTCATCTTTCTGATGTGGTTTCTCAAGCCCATCTTCTGTATCACCTCTGGATCCTTTCAGATCCTTATTGGTTTCACCCAGGGACTTCCATAAAAATGTTTTGCAGAACAGAAGAATAATTTGTCCTTCTATCCCAATTTCTTTAGCTTTATGAACAAATCCTGGCTGAAAATGAAAAACTGAAGGCACAGCTACACGACACAAACATGGAATTAACAGACCTTAAATTGCAGTTGGAAAAGGCCACCCAGGTGTGTATCTTTTTTAATTTTGTTACTCAAAAGATAATTGGTGTCACTTATTTGAAAAAGTTAATGCTGGAATTTTCTCTAATATCAATTCTAACCTTACCTTCAGTTAGTACAAACAGCTTGCATTTAGATAATGCAATTTACTTAAAATCACATTTATGTTTTCCAGGAAAAATCACTTTTATTTTTTTGGGAAAAAAATATAACCTTATAATAAATGTCATGGAATTTTCCAAGCTTTGTAAAACCTACATTGGGATGCTTTGAAGAAGATCATGCTAAATACAGCAAGGCATTATTAATAGCTAGTGTGAATAATCCTCTTTTATCCAAAATTTTTTTATACTAATTTATTATCTCAATATTTTTTCCCATACCTGAAAGAACAGACTAGTCGAGATCATTTTAGACAATAAACTTGAGACAGTAAGCAAAACTTAGTGTCTTGTTTATATTATGTAGTTTGTAGAATAATTATTTCATAAGCATATTTTTCCTGATTAGTTCAGGAGATAATAATAATAGGTATACCTTTCCTCATTCTCATTCTTTCCACCCTCCTCCCAAAATGCTTTGTGATCACAGAAACTTGGGAAATGCTACATATTCAGCTTTTCACAGGAGCTGCTTGTTAAGTGTATGGAATGAACATTAACTCATAGAGAGTGACCGTATATATAACAGAACTAAATCCTGCCTGATCAATCATATAGCATAAAATTCTGAAGGATACTATAATTTAAAAGAACATAAATGTTTCTTTATTATTAACATAGAACTTTCTAACATAAATATATTCTGCATCACTGTTCTTAAGAGTCCAACTTGAATCCACTAATGTAAAATGCTCTGTGACTATATTTCTTCTGGCCATTAGTTTATACTTGTGGTGGTGGTCCTGTTTTTCATTAATTTTAAAATTCATTTTCTATGTTATATTTGTCACCAGGGTTCTTTTTCCTTTTTCAGTTAACTGTTTGAAGCAGTGGAGGTTATGCTAAAATTCCAGTGAATGTCTTATTAGTTAGAAAATTCTATAAATGCTATTTCAAATTTTTAGAGTTACACGGAAAAGTAAAACTGATGAATGTTAAACTTGCTGTTCAACTTCAGAGCATTTCTCTTAAGTATTTCGGTCTCCTGTGAATCCTTCTTTTTTTTTTTTTTAAGACACTAGTTTTTCATAACTATTGATGAGTATGGGTACTGGTAGCAGTAACTAAATAAAACTAGTTAATGAGGTTAGTTTCCTTCCTAGGATATTGGCAGATTAATATTATTCAGTGCCAGAATGTTTCCATGTAAAATAATATCTTCACTTAAAGTGATAATTTTTAGATTCTCAGATGACTTAGGACAATCTTTTTTTTTTTCTATTTCTAGAAACTAACTTTTTTTTTTCTTATTTAAAATAAAATTTTTATTTTATGCTGGATTAATTTGAAAGTTCACACATTGTTTTTCACACCATATCTTTCCCCTTTTCTTTACACACCCCTTTTTCCACCCGTCAAATTGTGTGACCCTATGATTAATTACCTCACCCCACACCCCACCATCCTCACCCCTCTGCTCTCAAACCACCCACCCTTGAATCTTCTTACATTCTACAATAATGGTCTTATACAGTATCTGTCCTTATGGGACTGAGTTAGTTCACGTAGCATAATACTCCCCCAGTCCTTCCCAAGTTAGGTAGTGATTTCAAAATCATTGCTCCAGTGTACTGCATAGTACTCCATCATGTGAATGTCCCATAATTCCTCAATCTGTTCAGTTGTGGTTGTACATTTGGGCTATTTTCTAGCAACTAACTTTTAAAAGAAACCAGAAGCAACTGAATCTGTTCCATCATATTTGAAATTCAGAATTTACTTTTATATTAATAAGTAGTTATTAGGCTACACCAACTATTATTTTTCCCAAAAGTAAACATGAAACCATATAATGTAACAAAGGAGGAAAGATAATTGCCCATGGTTGGTTTGGTGGGTTTGTTGTTTTGTTTTGTTTAATATCCTAATGGCCTAGTCACTGTGAATGTGTCAAATGTGATAGTGTTTACCCATAGTAGACAGTGTTTGGTGGAGCTCGCCAATTAAAACAAGCTTGGAAACAGGAGTGGCATCCACTTCTGAAATAGCTTGCCTCCAGAAACCCTGTGAACTTGGAGAAAAGATGAAAGTTATACAAGTGTTCAGGTCTTCTGTTCATAGGGTCTCTATGAGTCATCTACGACTCGATGGCACTTAACAACAACGGCCTAGTCAAGGAGTTCTGGTGGCATAATGGTAAGGAGTAGTGCTGCCAACCCAGAGACACATGATTTGAATTGACCAGTTGTTCCTCACCAGGTAGATGGACAGTCTTGTCTCATGTGATTTACGGCCTCTGAAACCTTCTGGAAAGTCAGTCATGAGTCAGTTCCTTCTCTGAAGCAACGAGTTTGAAGTTTGGATTAGATTTTTAAAATGATTATTCATAAAAAGAAACTGAGAGGAGGGGATCTGTATAGAATAGAAAATTAAATAAAGAAATATTTAGTAGAAAATTGTAATCCTCGACCAAAGAGTTACTACATTAAACATTGACAATTTGGTTACTTGAGAGAGAAATGTTTTGTGTAGTTTGTTTTTACTACATTAAACATTGACAATTTGGTTACTTGAGAGAGAAATGTTTTGTATAGTTTGTTTTCAGTAGTTACAAAGCAGTGTTCCTATTAATGCTGTCAGGTTTAGGACACAGCAGTATGGCTAAAAACCCAAGAGACCTTTCCATCTCGCTGATGGTCAACAAACACTGGTTTTTCAACTATGACTGAGTAACCAAGCAAGGGGTAATAATGAGAATCCTACACTCATTGCAAGATGAAAAGCTATATAACTACATCATCTTAAAAGTGAATTAGAAGCAAACTCTCTTAGCAGTTCTAGGATGTATACAATTGGATAAGAGAACTCCAGACAGAATTAAGTAAAACTAAGCTGTGGAAAAAGGCAAAGAGACTCTATCTTGGTCTCTGTGCATAGATTCAAAATTATTCAGTATGCTGATAAATACATTCCAAATAATGTCCTAGAATCTGACCATTCAGATTAACAGTTCCTTTTTGCTGTGCGGGAGGGGAAGCAAGAGCTTTGTATAAGACCTGAGGAAAAGTGCTGTGTAGACCATAAGATCTATAGGTTATAAGATGAAAGATTACCATTCTGTTTCTAAAACATCTCTTATACCCTTTATTATTTCAACACAAATATTTTCTTTTTGAACTTATCTCCATCTAAATACTATGAATTTTTTTTTATATCATCCGTTGGGTCTTTTTGGGGTGTGTTTTTTTAGTCTTAGTAGAATACATGTTTTATACCCTCACAAACTCATAAAGGGAGCTGTATAGTCTATAGCAGGTTGCCTGTTCAATCCAAAGGCTGTGTATCTCCAGTGATTTAAATCCATCATCTGCTGTGCAGGAGAAAGATAATACTTCTTTTGTTGCTAACATCTTCAGAAACCCAGAGGAGGGCCTTCAGTGAGTCAGAACTGACTCCACTGCAGTGAATTTTGAGTTTTTAATTATTCATGCTTTTTCATTCCCATTGAGCCGGAATCAACTCATACCTTACCGTCCAGCGGGTATTCTGAGGCTATAAATCACATAAGAGGAGACTGCCCATGTGCACACCAGAGATGGAAGCAACCCCACAGTCCATCAGTAAATGAATGGAAAGAAAAATTATGGTACATCCACACAATGGGATGCTAAGCTGCATTGAAAAACAATGAAATAGTAAAACATTACACAACATGGGGCAGCCTTGAGGACATTATGCTAAGTAAAATATTTCAGTCACAAAAGGATATTATAAAACTGGACCAACATGGGGGATTGGAGAGGCAAATGGGAAAAGAGTGGATAGTGAACGTTGCATTAGAACAAACGGGCGAAGACCTCTTTGAAAGGAATGTATGCTTATGCATTATATGTATGAACAATCTGAAACAAGAAGTGTATTGTGGGGTGGGCAAGGAGAGAGGGAATATAGGGAGAGGGGTGAAAACATGCAACAATGCATAAAAGGGGGGGGAGGGAGGTGAATGCCCATCTTTTTTTACCCTGAGAGATGATGAACTCAAACTCCAAAAAATTAACCTTTGTGTTAACAGCACAACTCCTTTTAGGGACTGTGCAACCAGAGTTTTATATATATATATATATATACATATCATGCTAAGAAAGTTGGAGAGTCAGATAGAGGAAGACCCTCAACAAGTAGAATTGACAGAGTGTAACAGTGGGCTCGAGCATACTAGAGATGGTGAAGATGGCACAGGATAGGACAAGGTTCAGATCTATCGTTCAGAGTATCACTGTGAGTCACCTTTGACTGGATGACATCTAACATCAACAATGGCTGTTTCAGCCATTTTTATATGTGATTGAACACCCGGTAAACGGGGAATTGCCTTTTAACCCTGTCCTTCCATCTTCATTGTACTTATAACTCTTTTATAATGTATTATGTTGCAGAGACAAGAACGATTTGCGGACAGGTCACTTTTAGAAATGGAAAAAAGGGTAAGTATTTGTCTTACTAGATAAATAGTTCTTTTCCCCCATATTGTTGTGTGGAAGGGATTCTGGCGGGACAGTGGTTAAGAACTCACTGCTAACCAAAAGTTGGGTGGTTCAGACCCACCAGTTGTTTTAGCAGTAGAAAGATGTGGCAGTCTGAGTTCATAGAGATTGTCGTGTTGAAAATTCAGTAAGGCAGTTCTACTCTGTTCTACTGTTCTAAGATGGAATCAACTCAATGATGACTAGTTTGGTTAAGGATTTTTAGATTGTTTTATGGAAGTAATAGTAGGTGTTTTGGGTTTGTATAGTTTTATGAATGTGTCTTATGGTGTAGCTTAGTAAGTCTTATGGTGTGTGAAAGTACCTTGTTAAATAAGATTCATTGTATTATAATATTCTTTCAGTGAATTAAACACGATCTTGCCTTGATTTTGGCTGGGGCTTCGTCTGACATACTTTGGACATGTTGCCAGGAGGGACGGGTCCTTGGAGAGGGACATCATGCTTGGGAGGGTGGAGGGACGGCGCAGGAGGGGAAGACCCTCTATGAGGTGGATTGATTCAGTGACTGGGGTAATTGGGATGGGTGTGTCAGAGGCAATGAGATTGGCACAGGATAGAGTACGGTTTAGGGCTGTTGTACATAGGGTCGCTATGAGTCGCAAACGACTCGACGGCACATAACAACGTATGTATATGATAGTAAATTGGTTATCTTTGAAGTACATTTTTATCTCTGATTTTCTGTGATCATATACTTAAAATAGTTCAATCATTTATAAACTTACCTCTTTGCAAAAAGGAAATATTTTGGATTTTCATGGGAATTTTTTTAAGATCTTTAAGTCATTTTTAATATATCTTACTAAAATTACTTTCTGAATTAATGGTTTCATAATAACTTATTAAATTTAGAGTTTACAAAGATTAAGTCAACAAAACCCCACTGATTAGAAAAAGACCTTTATATCATTTTTTATGTATTTCTACTTACTTTATATCTGACTTATATAGCTCTTTAGGGAGCCTTGGTGACATAATGGTCAAACACTTGACTGCTAACTCAGATGTTAGCCTTTTGATCCCACCAGCAGCTTCTTGGGAGAAAAATAAGGAATATACAGTAGGCTTAAGCACAACAGAGATTTTGTTAAGGGCACAACCTTGGGCAGGGTGGTGGTTTTATTGTACAGAGGATTTCCTTCCATAAGTTAGTGCTAACTCAGTAGCACCAAAAAACAACCATAAAAGATTTACGTACTGGAAAACCTGTAGGCCAGTTCTGCTCTATACTGTATAGTTGCTGAATCAAAACTGGCCCAACAGCAGCTAGGTGGGGGTTTTTGGTTTTGACATTTTCATCTATCATTTCTTTTCACTCATATTACTGTCTCAGAGTCTGATTGTGGTCATAGGAATCATTAAAACTTATTCTGATCAATTGAGAAAGTATAAATGATCTGAAAGTTAAAAGAAAAATACTCACAGGCTGTCCATAGTGCAAGTGAATTGTTACTAGAGTTTCATGCCTGGTGTTGACCAATGAAGAAATTGTATCTTGGTTACCTTTGATCTATAGGTTCAGTAATAAATAATTGGGAGCAATTGATACATGTTTGCTCCTTTAAAAATACTGTGTAAAATTAAAGAAATACACTATATTAATATCTGCATCATCCATTAAATTATACTTTGTAATAAATGCCATAATTTCTACATGCTTTTAAAATCTGTATTCTAGATCATTTCAAATTAGTCTTAAGTATTTCTTTTTGCGATACAAACACTTATATATTTTTTTAAAGATACTTTTTCTTAGAGACAATAAGAAATTAAATCATCCATAATAATGTCTGCCTTTCTCTTTCTTCAAAATGTATAGACACATGTTCATATTTTGACATTATTACCTCATCTCCCCCTATGTCAGGTGTAGATAAATTACAAAGTAGTAATTCACTCTCTACTTGAGACAATAATGATGGAATTGATAATAACTGCTAGCATTTACTGTTATATCTATTAGGCTGGCACCATATTAAATATTTTACATTCATATTCTTTTAACAGTTTTTTAATGTTCAAACATAAGAAACTACTTAAATTTTTACAGTTGTCAAATAAATTTCATTAAGCCATTATCAGTCAGTTTGGTATAATGAAGTTAAAATTTTTGACACCTAATAAAATGAGACTCGGGTTATTTGTCATAGGAAATAAGTTATTTCCTCACTAATTATAAGGATCAAATATAATACTACATATGATCATTTTTAAGCATACTTTTACTTAAACATGAATTTATCATGACTGTATTACTAACTAGGAGAAAGTTGATATATACATATGTATGGAAAATTTTTATGCTTGTAATAATGTTTAAGCATGCTAATTTGAACATCATCATACTTAAGAGACTGAGTTAAATTTCATTTATTATTAAAATCACATTCCCTAAAAGCATTAACATTTACTGTGAATGAACTATTTTACTAAATATCAATATTAATTATTAAATTGGGGAAGAAATGTCTTGGAAATAGTTTCAGTGTGATTAAACTAAATTTAAATGGTTTGTATCTGAAAGGTGACCGGCAAGAGTCAGTATCTTCTGGGCGGTATGACCTAACCAAAGTTTTACATCACATTAATTACTGCTGCTTGCTTTTTGCATAACACCCTAGAATGCTCATTACTGAGGGGGGGAAACAAAAGGATATGCTGCAATAATGTGTTATGTTGCCTTTGCCTGTCACTTTTTCAACAGAGATATAGCTTAAAACAAATGCTGCAGTTGCTTCTCCATTAGATTTCACTGCGTTAATGCTACACCCAATATTAAACTAAGTACAAAGCTATAAAGTTGATTGCATAAATATGCCTAGCAAAGAATGTGTATGGAGATGAGCATTTTTTGGACTTTTTCTGTACTTCAGAGTACACATATTTTACGCACGTTTGCTTCTCTGCTTTTCTGCTTCTGTCACGGTAGTGTAATTGCATCTTTGTGTGAGGTTTTCCCTTTTTCTATACACTCTAAATCTTGACTATTGATTTTTATGCTACTGCTATATCTTATGAAAAATGTAAAAAAGAAAATAGTTTAAGCACATACAAAATCTACTAGAAAGTCAGACCTTTAAAGAAAGAGCTTTAGAATAATAACAATAAATTCAGTTCTTCTAAAATTTTGGAAAGCTCTTTACACATCACTAGCATCACATCTTTTTCTAAACTCCTGATTTGATCTTTGATTTTTAAGTGTCACTATTTCACAATATAGAACAAAATTAACACTTGTGCTTTATATTGATCTAGGAACGAAGAGCTCTAGAAAGAAGAATATCTGAAATGGAAGAGGAACTAAAAGTAAGTTAGTCATACTAATAAGAGAGTGCTAAATTAAAAGTCTATAATACCATATTTACAGTAATTGTTTTCAGAGTTAAATGCCTAAATTTATAAGTTATCTATATCTTCTGTTCTTCTTAAATCTTGATTCTAGGTGAACTGAGTCGAGATGGAATTTAAAACTCAAATCATTTTGATAATATGTATAATACTGTCAAAGTTTAAGTGTAGAGGCAGGTAGACCATGGTGATGATGAAAGATTTTAAATTTGTATCTCATTTTATTTCACTAATTGAATCTCTTTTCTCCTTTTAGCATTAGTAATGTTCATCTGGTGTTGATCTGTTTTTAAATTATTGCCAGGTGGCCTCGAACCATGTATCTTCGGGATTGCAGCACAGCTTCTTGGCCACTAGGCTACCTACGTGTATTTCCCAAATTGTTTTTAAGCAGCAGCAAACCTGCAGGACTTGTCTTTATATAATTGCGAAGTAATATTTTCAAATTGTCAATTATTCTTTATATTACCACACATTCCTATGTTTTTCAGTAACTGTTAGAGAAGGACATTATGTTGGGAAGGGTGGACAGTCAGCGAAGGAAAGGAAGAACTTCAACCAGGTGGATTGACATGACTGCTGGAATGGGCTCCTGCTGCATCCTCACACTTCCTGACAAACAAGAACTCATTGCAGCAGTCAGTCACCACATAACACCACCTGGTTGTCAGTCTTCCTCTCCTTCACCAACGCTCCACCCTTCCTAGTATCAAGTACTTCTCCAAGGAATAGCCTCTCCTTGCAACATACCCAAAGTATGTGAGGAAAAGCCTCATCATTCTTGCCTTCAAAGAGCACTCTGAAGACATTCTGTTTGTTCTTTTGGCTGCCCATGGGATATAATTAGATTTTCTGCTAGGAAGGATTATAATTATATGTATTTTGTCTGGTTTGCTAGGAAACAGAACAGTTTTCACTTTGGACATTAGTTTTGTTATATTACAGGAGGAAAGGGAAAGGGACAGTATTTAGGTATATCCTGGTCTTATTGAGGGAACTTTGGTGGCCTAGTGAAGAGAAACTGCACTGCATTCCCAAATTTGGTGGTTGTTGCTATCAACATAGCAACCCTTTGAACAAAAGGCCTGAAGCCTTCTATAAATACCGTCATTGATCAAAGTTCATAGAGCTTCCAGAGGCATATTGTTGAGGAAGTGGATGCCACTCCTGCTTCCAAAGGTACAAGGTTTTAATCCACCAGTTGAGAAGAATGGGCAGTCTTCTCCCATGCAGTTAACTTCCTCTGAAAACCCCGCTGAAGGATCAATTCCAACTCTACAGCACAGAACTACAACAATAACAGAGAAATGGGTATTTTGGAAACTAGATTCTTAACCAAAGAATAAGTTATCTTTTGGACAACAAGACATAACTATATTTACATTCCATTAAAATTCATTCAACTGGTGCTTCTTGTTGTGTACCATTGAAGCAACCCATAGTTGACCTCTAACTACTTTTCAGAGGCAGAAAAAGCATGCCCATCTTTCTCCTGCAGAGCAGCTGGTGGATTAGAACCTCATTCCTTCAGTATTGCAGTGCCGTTTCTCATCACTAGGCCACCAGAGCTCTCTCAGTGAGATTTATATACCTAAGTACTTTCCCTTTACTATAACAAAGTTTATTGATGTCCAACATTGAAACTGTTCTGTTTCCTAGCAAACCAGACAGAATACATATAATTGTAATCCTTCCCATGAAAAAATCTAATTTCTAACATCTCCATCTTCTCAGATGTCTGTAAGACAATAGAAAATGAAGTTGCATTGTTTTTAAATGTGATGGTTATCTTTTATTTTATTAAAATACTGGTTATTTTCCCTAAGCTTTGATGTTTTGATACTGCAGATTTATTACTCTAGGTAATGAATTATTTTTATTCTAAAATAGTAATAATTGGCTTGCTACCATTTAATAAACAGCATGCCTCTGGAAGCTCTGAGAAACAATGATAGTTGCAGAAAGGCTTCAGGTTTTTTGTTCATAGGGTCACTATGAATCCTACTTGGCTCAACGGCAATCAACAACAAATATTTCATAAGTATCTAAGATATATACTAAACACTTAAATGTGTGGCTTTTGGTAAATGTCTTAAGCAGTCTGACTAATTTAAAAGCATAGTGCCTTTAGGTGTTTCCCAGATAGACTTATGGTTTTTTTTTTTTTTTAGACTTATGGTTTTAAGTCTGATGTATATAAAGCAAACTTGACCTTAGATAATGATAGGAACTCCCTCTTTCATGGTAACAAACATAAGTTTCATTTTCTTGGCTGTTCTAATATAATGGTTTTTTGTGAGTCATAATACTTCAAATTATTTAGGTAATTTATATTAATACTTTGAGAGAATCAGCCTTTCACTTATTTATTAGCCCTTTGATGATCTATGGTTTGTATATCACCCACCTTTTTTAACTTACCAGATTTCTTTGAAACTGGTATCCCAGTTATAATATAAATACCATCTGATGTGGACTTGTAAAGCTGTGAGTCTGTAGGAATGTGTCAATCTCCACCACACTACTACCAGAATTGTGTCCAAATCTGTATTACCTCCATTTTTTTAGAACCTTCTTGCTTAATTATAGCATGCCTTCTATTTCAGGAAACATAAAGATATTAAAAAAATTTTAAGCAGAAAATTTTTGATCATGAAAAGGTTAAATTAATTAACCTTACATTATCGAAGTTTGATATTTTCCCCCTCTGCTTTATATTTTATTCTCTAGAAATAGGTGATATAGCTGAATAGGCTTATTCTTGTATGTAGTAGTGAAGTACATTTATTAAGAGTAATAATTTTCTTTTTTATTGAAATAAAAACAAATCTTTTTTTCTCCCCTCATAGATGTTACCAGACCTAAAGGCAGACAACCAGAGGCTAAAAGATGAAAACGGGGCCTTGATTAGAGTTATAAGCAAACTTTCCAAATGAAAAAAAAAAGGCAGCGAGTCATGGAATTGCACATATTAGTCACCCAGTGGACCATAAATGGCAGTCACTGGACGCCTGGGAAGGATCATCAGAGACTGTCATTTTCGGATATCCTGCCAAATGCCCTCTTATCTAGGGTTTGTTTTGGGGTTTTTTGTTTGTTTGTTTTATTTTTTTGGGGGGGTTTGTTGTTGTTGTTTAATTTTGGGGTTTTTGTTTTGTTTAGTATTTTTTGAATCAAGACCATTGTTTCATGTTAATGCAGCTGCTGAGAAGATTAAAAAAAAAAGACTGAGTTAACTTGTTTACAGCTCCAGCATATATGGAAAGTGTTCAAGGCCAGATACGCCTCAGATTTTTAACCAGTAAGCCTTAGTTGTACATAACTACCTTTGTGTCAACGGAAACTTTCAGCTCTCACAGAAGACAGTTACTCTACATTTTTTTATGTGCCACAGTGTCCAGTTTTTCTGTATTTAATTTCTTTTCTTTTTTTGCTTTACATTTTGACTTTGGTTTTGTATTTCTTTTTTTCCTTCTAACTCTTCATGTGGCAGACTCTCCTGTATTTCCACAGTTTTTCCATTGTCAGAAAAGAACACCTATTCTTAAATAAATGTATTAGGCTAGTACTGTATTGTCTCCCACCTGGAATTGAATCACTTCGTGGAACATTTGCTTTCACTGTGCAATATGCTTTTATTTTCTTACATGAATGCTTTAAAGTCAGTTGAGATAAGATTCTTTCTATTTTCTTCTTTCATTGGTCACTTTTTATTATTTTTGTTGTAGAATAAGATGTTAGGTTCTATAATCCTCACATTCATTTTAGCAGGTACTGAGTGATGCTGTGTATATATAAATAAGTGTATTGTTTTGATATTTTTTTTAGATCACCACATGGCATGCTTGACAATTTTCTTACTTCCAGTGTCTGTTAATGCAAAGTAGGCTACTCCATAATAGTGTTAAAAACAAAATCTGCTAATAATGTGATAGAAAAACTTTAAAAGTTCTATGTTATATGGAGCCCTATCTTTACATAGGATTCTACTGTAAAATGCTTTTCTTTTCAGTTTCCATTTTATAGTATTCAGCCATAATTAAAGTTGCGTAAGATAATTGCTTCACATTTCACATACCCGTATTTATCTGAGTGCTATCTAAAACTGTTGTGCTAGCCAAAGTAATGCTATGAAATCATTTGCAGATTTAACCCACGAGTTAATGTTAAATGCACTGTTATTGCCATGTGAAGAGGCATCAACTTTGATACCACCATCATCTTCAGACCATTTTATACATTTCAGTGGCCTTTTTAAAAAGCAAAACAAAGTACATAGTGAAGATGGCTTTTATTTGGACAAATAGCTTTTATATTTTCATTAAAATATACAAAAATAATCCATCTATCAGGCACATAACTGTCTCCTAAGAAAAAACACCACTGAACAGTTCAGCCATTTGAATAAATTAATTGTACATTGTAAAGCTTCTAGTAGCTAATTGTATTATTGATTGTATTGTATACTATATTAAATGTGAATTTGTAGCCCTTCATTTTAAAAGGTCATTGTGTTCTACTGCCTACGTTAGATGACTTGGGGGTTGGGTAAGGGTGTTTTGCTAAGCAGGATTTTAAATCCTGTTTCTGTTGATTGGTTTTATGAGATTTAAGGTTATGCTCTTACTACCAAGCTCAGGATTCTTGATTTTTAAAGGTACAAGGAGAGTTGTGGGAGTTTATTTTTGGTTTATTTGAACTGTATGAATGGTGGGTCTGATAGAGAGAATTTCCATGGTCTTATTGCAGAGGTAAAATATACAGTTTGCGTGATTGCAACGCGTTTTGGTTGCACAACAGTTAGGCATGCTGAGGATTATATTTGTGACGTTTGGATGCCTGTGAAGAATGATTAAATACATGTTTCTAATATTTTAGTGTTTTGTATTTAGGTTATTTATTCTTTGTATCTGAAACTGAACAGCTACTGTGCTATATTGATTTTATTGGTAGTACTGAGCAGACCTTGTTTCTGCATGAAACTAGTTGCAAAACCCACTATTTTGAAAATAAAAATGTATTTTGACATATACAAATAAAATGAATAAAACTATTTTAAATGTGTGAACTTTTACTGCAGATATTTAAATTTTGTTCTGAAACATTTAAATTCTGCATGGTTATTTTTTCATTAATTGCTTTACTTGGATACTATGAACAGTTTTTGAAATTGTAATTTTGTGATAATTTGCACAGCATTGTGTATGCACATCTGTAAATGCAATCTTAATTGCCATAAATATGCAACCTGTGTACCAATTTGAACAAATGTTTCTATATTTTATATAAAGCTATCTGTATGCCGATTTTGAGAGGTAGTGTTTTATGATAAGTGGATAGAAGTATAACCAGTGAATTTCTTTTCAGATAGTTACTGTGAAGCACAAGATTTCATGTCCATAAATATTCAAAGTTCAGCCACCAATCTCCCTGTCTGTACTGGTGAAGAGAAACTTTGGTGTTTTGAAAAATTTGATAGAGAGCTTATTTATGTGTCCAGCTAAATTAATACAACAAAGATTACATTCTGTTCTCTCTGCTTCCAATATATTACTTATGCATACTCACAGAATGAGTGATTACTACTGTTTGTCCCTAACTTAAAAAAATAGAAATCCAAATAAAGGGGGATACAGAATTGTCTAGCAGGAATATCCAAGTAAAAAGTAAAGTAGATATTCACTTAATTCTTAGAAATGAAATTACTTGGTCTCTGCTGGCTTATTAAGATGGTCTAGATTCCCAATGCCAGCACTCACTAAGGAAGAAAAGTAACCAGGGCACCTCAAGGTAGGACCATGGATATGCAGCAGACACGTTGTTCCTTCACTTACACATCTGTTTTAATAGCTTACTTGATCCTTACAACAGGCTAGGTAAACTTTTCTATTTTTAAGTAAATATTTTAAATGTAAGAAACTAGTTAGGTTTGTTGTTGCTGTTGTTAAGTGCCGTAGAGTCATAGACAACCCATAACGACCCTATGAACGAAAGTCTTGAACACAAAACTTTCCTCTTTTCTCCAAGTTCAAGTGGATGCCAGTCCTGTTTTATTTGGGAGATCCACACAGAAGCCTTTTAAAATATGAGGCCAAATCCAGTCAGCTCACACCCTCCTGTGAGCAATAGCCATAACCTAGTCTCAACCCCAGACCAGAAAACATACCTTCATTAGTTCACTATCTCAAACCTGGATTAATGCATAACAGTGAAGCTCTTAACCCCACTTGGTAGTAGTTTTTTATTGTTTTTTGCAATTAATTCATGAATTAAGTATACCTCTACTTTATATATTTAGGCCTGAAATGACATATTTACCTATATTGAGGATAGCATTTATTTTTTTTTCTAAACTGAACTGCCTTTTTCATCTTCCACATCCCAATTCAGCTTAATTTAGCCAAATCCAGCCCATCACCATTGAAATGATTCTGAAACTCTGCAGAACAACTCTGACTAACAACTTTGGCCTGTAATGGATGATACTGAAGACGAATAAATGCTTTAATGCATATGGTTGATTACCCAGTGCAAATGTTGCCTGTGTTTCAGTAGTCCATTGTTGTTGTTGTGTTGTGATGTGCCGTCGAGTCGCTTGCGACTCATAGCAACCCTATGTACAACAGCCCTAAACCCTGCTCTGTCCTGTGCCAATCGCACTGCCTCTGACACACCCATCCCGATTACCCCAGTCACTGAATCAATCCACCTCATAGAGGGCCTTCCCCTCCTGCGCCGTCCCTCCACCCTCCCAAGCATGATGTCCCTCTCCAAGGACCTGTCCCTCCTTGCAACATGACCAAAGTATGTCAGACTAAGCTCCAGAATCCTTGCCTCCAAGGAGTTGCTTGATTTAACCCTCTCTAGGATGAATCTGTTTTCTTGGCAGTCCATGGTACATTCAGTACTCTTCTCCAGCACCACAGTTCAAAGGCATCAGTTCTCTTATGCTCCCTAGTAATTGTCCAACCCTCTGATACATAACAAGTGATTGCAAAGACCATGGCCTGTATCAGGCGCACCTTAGTCTACAGAGAGACACCATTGCTCTTGAGAGGTCCCTAACAGCAGACTTTCCCATCGCAATACACTTTTTGATTTCCTGACTGCTGGTGCCAAGAGTGTTGACCGGGGAGCCAAGCAAGCTGAAGCTGTGAACAATCTCAGTCTCTTCGCCATCCATCCTGATGCTACC